TACTCGTACATATGTACATACACATTGTACATTAGGGTGGTCAAGAAAAAAGTTTAAAATATTAAGCTTTCACCCTCAGGACTTTTCTAAAAAGAAGAAAGAATACCCGTACTTTTTTGTTTACAAAAGCGTTTTTAGAACTGCCTCAAGGCCCATTAAGTTTTCCATGTATTTTATATGGGGAAAAAACACTTATTCGTAGAAATGGTATAGAATTCTTGAAAATCAATATTTTCAATCGGAAAACTTTGTTTCTCTTCAGGAGACTTCCAACAATAATACCCACTGATAAATTTAAAATTTTTTTAATACTAACAATTTCTTATGGGTCCTCCATGGTATTTTTGGGGTTTTTGGAGGACCTACAAAAATTAAGAAATATTACGAAATGCTTACGTCAACAACTGGGTATTGTTATTAAACATCTTGATTTTAAAGAATTATAAAATTTTAAAGAATTATAAACACCCCCATTTGTACGAAAAAGCGTTTCTTCTCCATAAAAAAATACTGGTATTATTTTTTTCCATTTAGTAAAATTCTAGCGGGTAAGAACTTAACATCTTAAACTTATGCATTTTTGGACCACCCTATTTTACATACATCCATACCGAGTATGAGCGTCAGGAAGGCGATTGTGAGCACGAGGCTGACGCAAGTACGCTTGGTGACGTACTCGCGGTATTCGCGGGAGCTGTTGGCACGGACTGCTGTCTCATAGCTAAGCACTTGATGCATAGTTGGTGGTTTATAATGTCTAGTTGTAGTTGTTACTGCTGTTTCTGTTGTTGGTTATTCCTTTATAGCTGGCGCTTTTTGTAACAATAAATGGATTTGTTTTGAACTTATATTAAATTTCCAACGAAATTTAGTTCATTTTCCTTTTATTCGTACAACAATTTGGTTCGAAAAAGGATATTTCTGAAAATAAAAACAAAATCTGCCATTATTTAATTAAGCAAAGTTTTCATGTTACTATTAAACTAAAGCCTAGATATAAAATAACAGGTAATTCTTGTAGAATAATACGCTTGCATATACATACATTATAAACTTCCAGTAATGAGTACCAACATTAAAATGTATTTAATTTGACAGTTGAAGGCTAAAGAGTATAAAGTGGTATTTTATGTATAAACTGGACAAATACTTGCAGTTAATGTACCTATATGAAAGTGTTCATACAGCAAACGTTTTCAGAAGCTTTTGGAGCTTAAAGCTAACCATTGTAAATTATTTCAAAACTTGCTTTTTTGATCTTCCAACCTCTTGAAGCTGATGTGAGCAAAACATCAAAATAAATAAATGAAAGTATATTATTAGAGACAGCAATTGCAGGAAATCGAACAAATACTTATAGCCGCTTTTCATTGAAGGTAACTTTTGTGATATATTTACGGCCGATTCCATATAAAAAGCGCCGCTCCGTTTCGTTTAATGTGAACACCGACGAATGCAAAAAGCACTCCAGTATAGGAGGTAGAGTCCCATTTCTCTAGAGTCTTCCAGTGGAAGTTCTAAGTAAATTTTAGGCATGTAAACTCTTAGGTATTAGGGTTGGGTATAAAAAAGTAGTTTAATAAAATACTCGTCCTGAAAGGCGGGTGGTATTATTACCAACGGTTATCAAATCTGAAGTGCTTTAGAAATGCTAAATTTTATTGTGCTAAGTTCGTCTGTTATAGATCGTCTGAATTCTCAGACATAGGAACATCGAAATCAATGAAAGAACTGATGAAATGGCGTTGTCCTTCTGGAATAATCTACAACGCAATTGATCTACATTTCCTTGGTTCAGCTAGAAATAGGCGATCAGATATATGGGCTTAAAAAATATCAACACAACTCTGCTATAAATTGATCAAGGACAGAAGTAAAAAGAAAATAATAGTGATTGCAGGGTGTTTAAGCGACTTATGCATTTCCCGCATAAACAAAGAACAGCGAACACACACTCGCACTTGTATATTGCACTCCCGCCCAAAACCAAGTGCAGCGAATAAACACACGCACTTGTGCTTAAAAATAATTCGTTCGTTCTTCATTGGGTATGCATTTTTTAATGCACTTCTCAACTGCCGCAGAACAAAACCTACTAAAGTAGTTAATTGCTGGCACTCCAAATCATGCTCAACAATCCCGCTTGATGCATCACCACTCCTCCGGAGTGGTTTTAAACAGCAAAAGCCAAAGCGCTACAAGCTGTTGGGGCTCTGTATGACTTTCAGCATACAGAGGTGGTACAAGAGCTACCATTGGCCACAGCGGTGCTCAACACTCCGCTTGACGCACACCCCCAAAAACTCTTACAGAGTTTAAGCGGCAAAACCACCGCGCTACAAGCCGTAGGGACTCTGCATGACTTACAGCCATGCAGAGGTGGTAACTGATGGTTATCATTGGCTCCGACGCCTACCCAAAACATTTTTCCTTTAATAAATTTTTATGCAAATACATTCATCCTGGTCCTGCCCTCACACTGAGTTAATCACAGGGATTTGGCTCTTACGAAACATGCGGCAATAATAAGATTTCCTTATAATAAGTCTTGTAGTAGCTCTGACAGGTGGATAAAAGTGAAGAATCTGATCATAGTTCAACAACTAACTGTGATCTATCAGTACGTAGGAACATTTATCAGATAATCTAGATCACTATGTCCTTAGCTATTCTAGGCATCTACCATTTATGAAGTACTACAACCAACCAAACAACCAA